GGACCCGCCCCCGGGGTTGCCATGGAGAGCCCCCGGTCGCTATGGAGCCCCCCGTGGTGGGGACGGGGAGGTGGGGGCCTGGGGGGACCGTGACGTCATATGGGGGCGGGGCCACGGGGGTCGCCCGTGGGGGAAGGCTCAGGTGTGTTTGGGATCAGGGGGGTGTGAGGTTACCCGAGTGTCAAGAGTCACAGGGGTGAGGTCTTGTTTGAAGTCATACTCGCGTGTGTGATTATGCATGGGTCAAGAGTCATGCACGTATAGGGTCGTGCATGGGCGTGAGGTCACGTGGGTGGTCATGCATGGGCAGTACTGGATGCGTGTCCAGGGCCACAAAGTAGCGGGGTCATACGTGAGGCTGTGCGTGGGTGTGAGATCACTTTTGGGTCAAGGGTCACTCATGTTTGATGTCATATATGGGTGTGAAGTCACTCATGCGACACAACACACATGGGTGCAGCATGTGTGTCCTCAGGTTCCCTCCCACTGCACGGGAACCAGGGGTTCAGGCCTAGTTTCACCCCCCCGGAGAACCCAGGCGTCTGGGCTTCCTTGCCAGTCCTCCAGCGTCCTTACCACCGTGCTTTGCTTCCCGCCAACCAGCATGCGAGTCCTGTTCCTGCAGTGAAGCCGAGCAGATTGGAGCAAAGGCTCATGGGAAGACCAGACTCCAGCTCCACCCCTTCTGATGGGCTCGATCCTGCTTGAAGTTGTTAGGGGCTGGAGCAGGTCCTTTCTCATGACCTTTTGCTGTGAGCTGCTCTGGGCACAGGTTCCTCACGGGAGAACCCATCTGTTCTGTGCTACCAGCAGGTCATTGCTGTAGGACCACGGACGGAGGCCGAATGCCTGGGTCTTCCCTTGGCTGGTGGGGGTGGGGGCAGAGCAGGGGGTGCCAGGAGCCCAGATGCCTGGTTCATCTCCCGTTGTGTGTCCTGCACCCCGTACTATGCTTACGACCTAAACCCCTTCCTGCCCCCACACCCCAGGGCTCCCCCATGTGAGTTGGGCTCCCGGCGCTGTTGCGGGGGGACCAGGCTGCCTCCTGGTCCTCCCCTCCACTGCTCGGACGAATGCACAGACATGCCCCCCCCGGCCTGGTCCGAGCTGCTCTCGGGGTCAGTCGCTGCCTCGCATGGGGGGTTTTCCTGGCTTCATTATGCCCCTGGTGGGGTTGATCTATCCCCATGCTGGTGGGGAGGGTCATTCTGTTCCTACCCCCCTGCCCCGGCAGTGGAGAGACCCTAGCCAGGGTAGATGTGGGCTGAGAGGAGGGGTAAGGATATGGGGGGCTGGGGCCTTTACTCACTGGCTTCGTCTTCTCTGCACAGGTGGCAGGGGTCAGAGGCACAGAGCCGGGTGTGGGGCACAGGCAACAGGTAAGGGGGGGGGGGCGGGGCATGTTTGGGAGGCAGAGCTCTGCCTCCATGATTCCAGGAGCCAGGGCTGGGGCAGGGGTGGAGCTCTGAGCCCAGGGAGCAGGGCCCAGGTAGTAAGAGGCAGGGCTTGGTGTGATGGTCCCCGTCCCCCCCCCCAGGTGGCGGGAGCAGCGGACGGGGAGGGGCCGGCCCCTGCGCCCGGGAGGATGGCGGCTGAGACGCTCAATTTCGGACCGGAATGGTGAGGAGGGGGCGGGACCCAGGCATCCAGGTTGCCTCCTCCCCTCCCACTTGGTCCCACCCACTCCCACTCCTCAGCCCCCAGCTCCCCAACACCTAGAGAATCCAGGCTGCTTTCACCCCCAGAGGGCCCCCCCCCCCCCCCCCCCCCCGCC